TTTTTAAAAGTCAAACATCGCTGACCACTATATCCGAGGCTCAACAATAATTTATGCTAAATAATTCCTACGTCACAGGTCCTGGGATTAATTAATGACCGAATTCATTTTCGGCTTTGTTGATTTGTGCAGGATGAAAGCTCAAGATTATGGTTTAATTGGTCAAATTATCTTTATCTGTTTTTAATCTGGCAGCCATGATAGGYTTCTACAATAAGARGACTTCTTCTAACCAGCTTTCCAGCAATTCAACGCGAAAATATTGCAAGAAACAAACTTTCTCAAAGTTTCSCTGACCACATGAAGCCGGCTGCTTTAAGCTTAATTCTCTWCATAGCTCATGGCATCTCTTGTTTTTCGACTTTGTGACAATGCACCYGAGATTYTGAGAGATGTATGCGTTGAGCGAGGYTGGAAGGAGTATGAAGAAGACGAAGACGAAGAAGGCGCCTGGAATTTGTGGTGGAAAAGTTCTGGATTCCGAACGAGCGATTTTGAATCATGTCGTCCATGGCAACGGCTTAACCATTTCCCAAAGTCTAATTCCATAACACGGAAGGATAGCTTGGCTAGAAATTTAAGGCGAATGAAGGGAGTTTATGGTAATATATTATTCAATTTTGCACCTCTGTCATTTAATCTTCCCAATGATTACCGCAAATTTGTCACCGAATATTCAAATGGTAAAGATAAAAGACGGTCCCTGTGGATTTGCAAGCCGGCTGATCAGTCAAGAGGAAAGGGCATCTTTCTTTTTCGTAATCTCACTGACTTGACGTATGACTGTGCCACTGTGGTCCAGCAGTATATMCAAAATCCATTCCTAATTGCTGGGTATAAATTTGATTTGAGATTGTAYGTGCTTGTGACYTCATTTCACCCTTTGCAAATCTATCTGTACCATGAAGGCCTTGCAAGATTTGGTACTGAAAAATTTGACCTCAACTCATTGGACAATGTCTACAGTCATTTGACWAATACWAGCATAAATAAACTAAGTCCATTCTAYGCCACTGATAAAGAGAGAATTGGCAGTGGTTGCAAATGGAGCTTGAGTCAACTGCGTACATATTTYTACCAGCAYAATGTCAATGATCAACTAATTTGGCATAGAATAACTGCAATTGTGGTCTTAACATTACTGATGCAAGCTCCAGAGGTTCAGAAGGATACAGCGAGCTGTTTTGAATTATTTGGMTTTGATATCCTAATTGATGAAAACCTGAAACCTTGGCTTTTAGAGGTAAATTTCTCACCTTCTCTYGGCATCGACTGCTCCTTGGACCTGTCAATCAAGAAGGCYTTACTGGATGACACATTGAAAGCAATAAATTTGAAAGAGTCKGATAATTTGCCATGTACTTTAAATGGGTGCATTACCAAAGTTGGAACACATGCAAGAAATCAGAGGTCCTCATCAAGAGCTAGCTCTAAGCTATTGTCTTATTCAAATAAATCAAGAATCAATRCAAGCTCTAGGTTCTACACAAGGTCTACACTCTCACGGATGTCRCAATCCATTGTCAGTAGGATTTCAAAAGAAAGCTCTGGGAGTGATGACAGCCCTGAASATTCTTCCAACCCAGGGGAAGAATTTAGCAATTCTGAAATAAATAACAATACTGAAAAAGAADGTTTAACCACCAGCCATGATAACCTCCTTGCTTCCAGCTCTTCTCCGTCTAGAAATGAACATCTAGATGTACCAGAATGCACTGATATCGTGAAACTTGAAGCCAAAGAGCTGCAAGAACTTTGTGACTGCGGTCCTCAGAAAACTTGCAAAGTACACTACAATGTAGAAAGTGGTTTATCACGCACCAATTCATCTTTAGAGTTCAAAAAGGCTTACTCTTTCACCAGAGCACCAAAAGGTTTAGAGTCTTTGAGTCAAGCTGGAAGATCAGTTGTTTATAAGAAAGAATTCTCCACAAGTGAAACTAGTGAAAGTATGCCAGAGAATGCATGCTCCAAAGATTCAGGTCCWAATGCTGAAGATATTCCTGGCACAATAAAAACTCAGATCACAAAGCTTCCTCCTCTGAARAGAAGCATCAAAAAAGCAACAAGTTTTCCATTTGTAAAAAGATCTCCCAAAATTATGCCTTATTTGCCAGTCAAAGGAAGAAAAATACCATCGAAAACAACAAGCAAGTTGTCTTTGATGAAATGCTCTTGTGGACACTCATCTCAAGGATGGGGAGCATACAAGATGAACCCAGCAAAGCAAATTGGAGATTACATATTAGTATTTCCTTTCAATGATATAACCCAGAAAGCATGCACTGCAAAGCAATTGAACAGCAAAGGTGCAATYGATGAAGTGAAGAAAGTAATCCAAAAAATCACAAACTTGGAGAAGAATAAACCAAAGTCAAAGGTGTTAGATGGTGACSAGAAAGAAAAGTTAGATTTGAACAAGCCATTTTGGGGATTTAGCTCATTGTCTAATTGGCCTAGCTAGCTGATTACATTAGAGCAATCTATTTTATTTATTTATTTATTTATTTATTTATGTAATGGTTGTCCAGTCTGCTTAAAGAGTATCAATGATATAGAAAATTGAGAAAGCATGCAAAGCCTGCTCTTCATTGAATCGCAATCTTGTTATTCGATATGCAATCTATCTGGTTAGGTAGAACCTAGGTGCATTTCTACTCAATTATTGAGTATAATTTTAATGTTCAAAACAGACTGAATCCCATAAATACTTCCYRTAGTATTGGGATTCCTTTGTCCCATTTGCAACACAGGAAGCCCATTWCAACAAGCACAACTTTGCATCACTTGAAAACATTGTAAATACCAGTAGCTAATATTAATTAATATTATTTGTATTTATTTGCAATTTGATAATTGCTCAGTGAAATACTATTTGTGTGATGTTGGCCGAAAAGTGCCTAAATAAAGATTAATGAAATATTGATTAATTCTTATGCTTGACTTCGGAGCCCATCGATCTAAACTCTAATAGATGCACATAGGACATAGCAGGGATAAGTTCAGTGGAAGCTRTTCTTGTCACATTTTGTATCAAAAAAAATTTYCTCTGAGTTTTTCTGATTCATTGTGCATCATTATGTTGGAAGTTGAAAAAGCAGCCCTTGCCAGATATCTTTATGTGTAAACACGATGTGAATGACGTCATTCATGACGTCAAAAATYTACGATTCTAAGAAAATATCGTGCTATCCGGGAGATTTAGGGCTAAAAATCTTGAGACCGGGAGATTCGATCTGAAATCGGGAGTCTCACGGCAAATCCGGGAGAGTTGACGTCCCTAGATTCTTACCTACCTTGTCACGCATTCTTTGTCACGTCTTAGCAATTTTGGGTCAGCGGTATCCCACAGAATCGTACCACCGAAACAATTTCTCTGATCTATTATTGTGGGTGGGTGGTTTTCGTGTTGTTGCGTGCTACTATAGTCAAACCTTGAATGACCTTGAGCWGAACAAGTAAACAGTAAGTTCCAAAGAATTATCTGAACGACAATTAGAATAGACACTTGCTGATGATCAAACGTTCTAGAGCTTCATGATAGTCGATTTCAGAAGTCAATTAACTAAGAGTCTG